CGGCCGGGGAGGAGGTGCTGCGTGGGGCGCCTGAGCTCCCGGCGCGGGAAGCCTCGGGATGCTTCCCTCCCGCACGGCGCTGGAGCGGGGTGCCCGGGAAAGGTGTTAGAGTGGAAAGGGATGGTTCTCCTTACTTGTGTTACCTGCAGCATCTTAACCTAGTTAAATACGTTGTACCGCAGTTGGAGAGAAAGGGACTGCCACTGTATCCTGCCCTTCCCTGAACATACGTGATGTTGAGATAATGTCATAGGCAGCTGCCACAGCTACTTCGAATAGTGCTGTGACATAGCTAACAAAAACCAGGCCTACTTTTCATTTTGTGAAACTTCTTAAAAGTTATTTCTTTTTTTCAATTAGCCTTGATGATTGGGCTAAATGTTACTTTCCTTAAAGCCATGGAAGAGGTCACATGAATTTGTATACTGGTGATTGAAAATTTCTGCTTGTTGGAGACGATGATTGTAAGAAACAAAGGGTGTTGGGCACAGCTTCTTTATTTAGGTGAGTCAACCAGAGGTGATACTTTCCTGAATCTGCTGTTTATAAACATGCAAGTCAAGGATCTGGTAATCATTAACAGCCTTGGCTGCAATGGCCATGGAATAGTGGAGTCCAAGACCCTCAGTGCAGTGAGGAAGGCTAGTACAGAACTTGCATTCTATCTAATTGACCTTTCAAGACTCCCAACTACTGGGGAAACAACAGATTTAAGGGAGGCAACTTTGAAAGTTGGAGAAGTTGAAGAGATGAAGATCAGTAAGGACAAAGATATTCCACCCTTGTTACTCATGAGAAGTAAATGGGCATAGAGGGGAAGAATCACTTCTTTTGACCTGCTGGCCACACTCGTTTTGATGAAGCGCAGGATTCCATTGGCTTTCTGGGCTGCTAGTGCACACTGCAGGCTCATGGTGAGCTTCTCATCCACTGTCACTCTCAAGTCTTTCTTCTCACTGCTGGTTTCAGTTCCTTCCCCACCCAACCTGTAGCTGTGCCTGGGATTGCCATGGCCCAGATATAGGACCTTGCACTTAATTTTGTTGAACTTCATGAGGTTTGCATTGTCCCACCTCTCAGGCCTGTCAGGGTCCCTCTGGATGGCACATCCCTTCCCTCCAGCTGTGACTGCCCCACACAGCTTGGTGTCATCAGTGAACTTGCTGAGGGTGCACTCAATCCACTGACCATGTCACCAACAAAGATGTTGAACAGTCTCGGCCCCAGCACTGAGGGACACCACTCGTCACTGGCCTCCATATGGACAATGAGCTGCTGACCACAACTCTCCATGTGCAACTATCCAGCCAGTTCTTTATCCATTGAGTGGTCCACCCATCAAATCCATGTCTGTCCAATTTAGAGACAAGGATGTCATGCAGGACAGTGTCAAACACCTTGCGTAAGTCCGGGCAGATGATGTCAGTTGCTCTGCCCCTATCTACAAATTCTGTGGCCCCATCATAGAAGGCCACCAAATTCATCAGGCATGACTTGACCCTGGTAAAGCCACGTTGGTTATTACTGATCACCTCTTTGCTTTTCATGTGCCTAAGCATAGCTTCCAGGAGAATCTGCTCCATGGTCTTGCCAGGCACAGAGGTGAGACTGACTGGTCGATAGTTCCCTGGTATCCCTTCTATCCAGTGACAGTAATACCTATTGAATTGTCAGCACTGTAATGGCTATAGCATCTAAAGTTGATTTGGGGATTTCTTCTGAAGAAGCTTCCTGTGTAGAAAGCATTTTATGCCAAGTGTTTTTTCGATTTTTATTTTCCCAGGCACCAGTGACCAACCAGAACAAGAGCAAAAATGCACAGCTTGTGCAAGGTAAGTTGCTGTGTTTCATATGTGAAAATTATTCTGGAAGTGTTTCATGCTTTTTTTTACAATGTGAATACATGCTGTAAACTAATGAGAAATTGTAATATATTTAATATCAGCAGAACAGGAGAAATGCTGAGCACTACATGAAATAACAGATGTGAAGCAACACATTCTTCATAGTTGTTCCTCCTTAAATCTGCTGCAAGTATACATTCCCACTGCTATAAAGGAAATATTGCAGGTGAAATGTGAATTAGAGAAAACTGGAACATCATGCTTGCAAATGTTGGTTTTCAACAGGTATTGATTAAATACAAACTTGAGTGAATTTCCAGGTGTTTGGGGATTTTTTTGTTTTCTCACCAGATGAATAGTATCACACATCTCAGTAACACAGTCTAAAACTGAGTTGCTGAACTTGTCACTTCGTGTTAAAGATGCACAAACTTGCAGCCATGGAAGCTGAAGTTAAACAAGCTATTGTCAGTGACTTTTCTGAAAATATGTTGGTAATGGATACACATAACACAGGGATCCCTCTCAAACCTGTGGTGTCAGGGTATCTCTAGGTCTTTGTTGCATTAGTAAATTAAACATGGAATGACCAGTTCTTTTCAGCTGAGGCCAAATAGTGCAGACAGAGTTTGTCCACATATTAAGTTCTACTCCAGAACAGATTGGTCATGTCCAGGCTGAAACACTCCTGAAGCCAAGCTAACTCCTGAACTATACCTGACTGTTATTTGAGAGGTCTACTGGTTAATCTGAGCCAAAAGGGCATAAAAAAACTTCTTAGTGTCATGGAGTAGGTGATGGAGCTGCATTTCTCTGGCAGTGCCCTGACACTATCTGTAGTTAACCAAAGGTTTCGTTGATATTCATTCAGTGATCCAAGCTCATGTCCTGTGGAACATACAGTGACATAACTATTAATATCCATACTAGCAGTATGAAGTCAGGAATGTAGAAAGCACAAAGATGCATGTTTGCTTTTTACATACAATCATTGCAAACGAATGAAGGTATATGAAGTTCATAGGCTTTATATGATGCCATTGCAATGTTAGCATTAGTAACTGCAATGCTTCCAGACTTGTCTTCCTTGTTATTTCATAACTCTCCTTTTTTTTTCTTGAGGAGCTCTTCATGTTTATGTAGTAACTTACCCTAAATATTCTATCAAAACTTTACAGAAACTGTGGGAGTCAAAAGGCCTCGATTTGATGCATCCTTGGTGCTTTTGACACGAAGATTTATGGCTCTTCTCAAAAAAGCTCCACATGGTGTCCTTGATTTAAATGAAGTAGCAACAACACTTGGAGTAGAAAAACGAAGAGTGTATGACATCACAAATGTGTTGGATGGAATCCAGTTAATTGAGAAAAGATCTAAGAATCTGATCCAGTGGGTGTGAGTTGTCTTTGAAACTTCTAATTTCTGAAAGAGTAAAGCCCAACAATATTGAGTAATATTTATAACTCCAAGAGGTTTTAAGTTTTTCTTTATCCATAGGCCTTATGAATTACTTACTATGTTAACAAGTATCAAGTGCAAAATCACGTGGAAGGATATTTCAGCAGAGTAAAGGATGCCAGAGTTCCTGGCTGTTTTCTGTTAGTATACTCGATGTTCAGTAAGCAGGCTTTTATTTATATAAACATACCAGACAACTTTCATATTCTTCTAGAGGTACTAGTCTTGACCAGCTTATTGTGAAGTCACCAGACAAGCAAAACCTTAGGGATGAGCTTTCTGACCTGTCAGCCATGGAAGAAGCTCTGGACGAATTAATCAAGGATTGTGCTCATCAGATATTTGAACTAACAGATGACAAAGAAAATGCAAAATATCCTTTTTAACAGTTATGTTAACACATGGGTTTGGTTGCAAGTACTTGTATATCTAGTAATAAGTACAGGCTGATGCCACAGGTACACAGTGATGCTTAATAATGAATTTTATAATAGGAAACTTTTTGGTTGTTTTATATGTGTGTATGCTAACCATGTGCCTTGCTTTGCAGTATTGTGTGCAGTCTAAGCTGTTCTCGGGGCAGTGCTGCTTGTGTCACCTTTCCACTGCAGAAGAACAAAGTGGGGCAGTGGTCTCAATAGCCTGACCATCACCATATTCTCTCCATTATAAAGTTGTCTCAGGATCAGGTCTTGACCTACCAGTGAGATCGAGTAGCTTAGTGAGATGAGAAAGAGGGCTCAAAACAAGAGTCCCAGTGGCCAGTTGCCAAGAAGATAAATGCTGGCTGTGTACTAATACTGTTCTCTCTCTTCAGAGAGGTTCCAATGCAGTTTTGTCTTTCAGATGGGTTTTGGCAAGAGAAGAGGGATTTCTTTTAAAATATGACACAAACAGTGAATTTTAGCTTTGGGTTACAATAAAATATTACTTAACTCCCTTGTTCGGCAGAATGTTAATGTCTCTGCTTGAATGAAATGTGCCCATTTTCTTTACATCTTACTTGTTCTGGTTAAGAAAATAGTTCTATGGTTTCCCAGGAAATTATTCTCATGCTATTAGAGGAAACTACATGCAAATGCAGGAATAATAAACAGGAAGTAGTTTATCAAGGGCAGTGTATTCCCCTCTGCTTTGTAGTCTTACAACAGCATCTGTGAAAACTGTCAAATGTGTTTGGTTTTTTTAACATTGAATATATTTTTTAAAGCTTTTTCTTTCCTAGGAATAAAGAAAACCAGTTTTCTACCTGTTAGGTAATACTTCATTTTACAAAGCTAATATCGAAGTAACCTCAGTTACTTTACAGAATCCTTGACCAATGTGTACACTAGCTTATGTGACATGCCAAGATATCCGTAGCATTCAGGCATTTCAAGAACAGATTGTGATTGCAATCAAAGCTCCAGAGGAAACCAAATTGGAAATACCAGTTCCTAAAGACGTAAGTTTTATACATTTCTCTAAAGGGAACAAAAGTTCTCAAATTTGATTTTTTTGCAGCAGCAAACAGAAATTGACTTCCAGTTTCTTTGTCATGCAAGTATTGGTAGTTCATTGTTCTTGTGTTGCACTAAACAATGCTGTAGGCATAATAGTCTTAGAAACCTTTTTTTTTCTCTTTACTTAAATTATTAAACAATAAATGTATCTGAACTCTAGTTATCTGGTTTTGCTAGAGAGAACAGAACAGCTGTAATAAAGTATGAAATGCAAAGTATGGTCGAAAACAAGAAAACACTTTGGCACTCTAGTAGATCATGCGGAGATGGATTTTTTTTTCTGTGGAAGTGTGGGCTGTGCCCTGTCCTCCCCCCAGAATGCAATCCACAGGCTCCATTCAGGTTGCACAAAGGAGCCATACCTTGGCCCTCTGCACCCAGCAATGCTGCAGCTGTATTCTGGGGCCTATGTACTGTGAGCCCACATATAGAAGTACTGCTGTGAGAGGGGAAATCGTGGAAGTAAGCTTAAGATAAATGGAATTTTAATTCAGTTTTCTTTTTGGATGTGTGTTTTTTATAATGTTCTTATTTGCATAGTCATCAAATTTGTCTTGCTGCATGCACAGAAAGGGTAGGGAGATCTCGGGAAAAGGAGATACGAATCAGTAGAAAAAAGAATATTTAGATCCACTGCCTAGATCTCCAGTGGTTTCCTTGGTAAAAGGAGCTCGCTCTCATCCAATGGGAATGAAAAAGATAAAATTCCAAAGGCTTCCTGAAGGAATAAAAAGGCAGGATTAAAAAAAGCTGTATTTTAGAGAGAACAGGGTCTTCTCTCTGTTGTCCGTTACATTTTATTTGCTTTGTGTCTTGCACTGTGATGCCTGCTGAAGGAAAGCAGTAGAAGTGATAAGGTTTAGTTGCTTTTCCGTGTTATCAAAGCTGTGCCCTCTTATTTGTTTTCCGATCCTTGGCATTGATTTGTCAAGTTTTAAATTCTGTTGCTCTTCCTAAATTTACAGTAAGTTTTGGTGATATATCTGAAGGTCAGTAAAAGACTAAACAAATATTTAAGTGCATGTTTATAAAAAATGAAAACTTGTTACCTTAATGCTGCTTAATCATTGTCCTGCAAATGTAATAGCCATAATTTATGTGGGAGTAGTAACACAATTTTAAATAGTTGCATCATTCCTGCATTTGTTCTGTTCTTAATCTATTTGCTTTAAAATATGTACAAAAATAGACAAAAGATACATGAGATTTGTTCTTTGGGTTACACACAAGTCGCTGTTTTATAGGATCATATAGAAGTACATGTGAGGAGCACAAAAGGACCCATTGGTGTGTATCTGTGTGAGACTGAAAAAGAGAAGCTAGGTGCCAAAACTTGTGAAGATGTGGATACTGTCACTTCTGAAACTGAGCCAGCAGTTCCTCCTGATAAAGGTAATGTCCTCCACATACACTTTGATCCACATACAGCATGTTTTAAGATGATCTTACCATTCTGATAAAGTTGTAAACTGTACTGTTGTACAAGTACAATTTTCTGGGCATAGTTTCTGGGCCAGGGTGTGTGGGAGTATGGGAAATGCCTGGAAGAGAAGTCTCTGCTGTTGTGTTACCTCACAGCAGCAGGAGGTCAGAGTATCAGGCACATGCACATACAGCAAGGCACTCTTGTTCTCTGACCTTTTCCTTCCTTCGTTCCTGACTGGTTTCCTGTTGGAGCTGCACTCTGTGGATGGAACAATGTGTGTCGTTCTCAGCTGCCACACTGCAGAGTCCAGCCCAGCTGAGAGTGTTGCCATGAGAGTTATGATGTGGCTTCGAAGGAGAGCGTGCTCTAAGGGAGGGCAGGCAGAAGAGGGCATGTAGTATTCTGATCTCTTAAAACAAGATTGGATGGAATATAGTCTCTCAAGACCCCAGTGCTGCACAGGATGTTGTGGTTTAAAAATAAATGAGACAGGAATTGCAGTAGCTCCGAATACAAAAGAGAAATTATTTTTAGCAGTGCTGCTTTATATTGAGTGGAAGAGTTGACTTTTTCATCCTAGGCATTTTTTTTAATTTATTTTGCTTGTGAAATAACTTGGAATTATATTTCCTGCAAAGACAGTAATCATATTCCTTTTTTACTTTCCTTTCAAAGTGAGAACTCTGAAGGAAGAAGAAAACTCATCTGATATGACAGATTAATTACAACTCAGAAATCTAATTCAGAATGTATCTCTGTTAAAGAGCTTCTCCAAAGCTGCTGGATCTGCAAACTTCATGACCTGAAATGTTCCAAAGTGTTTTAAAGAACCAGCAGTAGGTTGGTTGAGTCATTTCACAGTACTGCTTGTCTTCCCAAGTCAAAAAGACAACAGTTCCTTCCAGTTGCTTTGTTTTCATAATTGCATGTGATCTACACTGCTTTGGGAAAACAGTATTTCTACCTTATAAAATAAATTTAATTGTCAGAAAACATAGATAATTAATTCCTTTTAAAAATGGAAATTGGAAAACTCTTTCTGGAACGATCCGCAGTCTGTGTGAGAATGTATAGAATAAAGAAATGCACTTTTCAGTACTGAGGCTGCACTCCTAAGCAGGATTGTCACATATGAGTGTAACAAAGAACTGATGTATTTGGAAGCCTTTGCAATAAGGAACAAGATGTAAGTATCCTGAGAGTTATGCCTTACATTGTGTAGGTGCTGTTTGCACTGCTTGCAGCCAGCTCTGCATGAACTGTGGTTTCAGCACTGAAGTGAAGTTAATTGGGCTTTGTGTATATACCTGTATTGTGTCCAGGTAGTTATTGATGTAGATTTATTGAGATGGTGTGCATTTCTGCCTTTGTACAGCAAAAAAAATAAAATAAGGTTATAAAAATACGGAATAGTCTGATTGGTCAGTCTGATGATACACCTTGGGTTGCCTTTGTTGGAATTCACTAGATAATTACAAACATTTTGCATTATGTGGAAATTTAAAATCTGTTTTACGTGGTGCTGGCAGCAGTTATAGCTGGACATTGTGATGCCACAATACTGTAGTAGTTTTTAGAAGAAATGTTATTAACTACTTAAATTGGTTCCTTCCAGTTGCTAGAGTTTATGTACCACAGAACTTTAGCCAAGTAACATTACGTCTTTGTGGCTCAGCTTGCAAAAATACATAAAATGCTTCAGGTCTGTATCTGTATTCATTTAGCTTTATTAGCTGTAAAATAAAGCTGTAGCATTTTGATCCTGGTTTTTCCAAGGGAATGAACTGCCCCTGTACAAAGACCATGCCTGGAGTCACTTACTGAAGGTACTTCATAGGTGTCTGTCTGGGTAGGGGGGTGGGTTGGCTGGTTTGTTTTTAAGTTGGAAGTCTGAGTCCTTGTTTTTCTGATCACTGAGTATTGACAGCTATGCATCTACTCACAAGTGAGAACAACAAAGCTAATAAACCCCTGAATGTTTTAGCCAGCAACTCTACAGCTGTTTTAGATGCTGTGAAATTAAATGCCCAATGCTCTACAATACAAATAAGGTGAGGCAGTTGACAATGAAGAGCTTAAATATACCTAAATACAGATTGAGAGTTAATTCAGTTTTCCACAAGGTTCACTAGTTCTGTGAAATGCATAGTTACTACACTATGCAAATTGGAAAAAACACCGAGTGCAAGCCTGTGTCAGAAAGTAATCTTGACTTCTTACATATGTGCAACCAACTTCCAGAATACAGGACTTAAGTGTTGGATACTATTTTTCTGTCTCTATAAAATGCAAACTATAGGCTGAGCTGTTAACAAATAAAAGCAAAGTGACAGCATATTTAATACATAGATCACAGTAAAAATGGGGAGGATACTCCTGCAGTGAAGTTGGGAGCAACGGTTAAAATTAAGAAAACATCTTTTGAAAGATTGTCCTTTTCCTTCAGTGTCTTCGTTCCAGATGGCAAACTCCCTATTTGAATTTTTATATTGCTGTTCTCTTTTGGGAGGGAGGGAGGTCTATGCCAAAGAGAAGTTTTGATTCCCCCTACCCTGGTTCAGCAACTCGGGATAATGTTTGCTGTAAAATGTGTAAAAATTTTCCAGCAGTAACAACTCATCCTGAATGCTATGTGTTAGGGTGGGATTTTATGACATGATCATAAAAACCTAGAATCGTTTGGGTTAGAACGGACCTCAAAGATCTTTTAGTTCCAACCATCCTGCTGTGGGCAGGGACACCTTTCACTAGATCACAGAATCATTTAAGTTGGAAAAGACATCCAAGATCGTGGAGTCCAACCTTTGACTGAACACCACCTTGTCAGCTAGACCCCAGCATAAAGTGCTGCGTTCCTTGAATGCCTTCAGGAATGGTGACTCAACCACCTCCCTGGGCAATCCATTCCAATGCTTAACAACCCTTTCAGTGAAGAAATTCCTCCTCTTGTCCAACCTGAACCTCTCCTGGCACAGCTTGAGGCTGTGTCCTCTCCTGGTTGCTCAAAGCCTCACCCAACCTGGCCTGGAACACTTCCAGGGATGGGGCAGTCCCAGCTTCTCTGGGAAACCTGTTCCACTGCCTCACCACCCTCACAGTGAAGAATGTCTTCCTAATACTTAATCTAAACCTACTCTCTTAACCATTACTCCTTGTCTTATCTGTGGAGTAAGGAAAGATATTTTTACAAAGTAACTGCCTTACAAATGTTAAGGAAATCTGCTGTCAAAAGCAGAATACAGTTTATTTAAATGAAACATTAGGATTTTTCATTTTTAACAGATCTCTGGTGATTGTTTTACCTCCCTCACTTGTGCAGGTTTTCTAGCTGTAAAATTCATTTTTTGACTACACAGTTGTCACAGTGAAATGAGAGAAACAGTAATATGACAATACTATAATTATTTTATTAAATATATCTATTGTTCAACAGCGCATCTCTAGTGAAATGAATGAGCTTTTGAAGATAAACCACTGTTGCAACTACTTGGTTACAGACAGTATTATCCACTCACGATTCTGGAAAAAAACTGTGTAAGCTCAGTATACTAATTAGCTGGAAAGATTCAAGTTGGACTTGAGGAAAAATACCTGAGTGATGCTGAACTTAAAGACAAGTTACAAGCCCACTTGTAAATGTGACAGGACCTTACTCTGCATTTGTATAATAATGCTTGATATTTTTTTCTGAGTGATTATTAAGATACTTTTTTTGAGTCTGTATCTGTCCGTTTTCAATATGTTTATATGTGTAAGCAGTTCCCTTGGCTATTTGAGGACTCTGTAATAAATTAAAAACCTCTAATGCTGTTTTTGTCTTCCCTTCAGTAAGAATGGCTGAGCATATAAATGCATTAATCAGCAATAGCCACAGCCAGGATCCGTAATTATAAAATGGCCTGGGTTTGTTGACTGTAACTGGAACAAATGCTGCAAGTTGCCAGTTCATCCCTTATTTGGTGTGAGAAATCACTCATCAAGAGTCTTCAGATATGAATTGGAGTTTTCAATAATGCAATATATAAAGAGGAGAGAAGATCACTTCAAATTATTGTCTGTTGGAAAGCACTTAAAACCCAGTAAATTTCCTCATTTTGAATAACCTTTTTGTTCTGCGTGAAAAACCTCATTTATAAGCATAATTAAATTATGCCAATTTCAAAAGTTGCTTTAGCTCTTGTCATTGGCAACATTCTCCTGCTGTCCAGGCAGTAGGCTGCTCCTGACGTGCTGGGGCCAACTGCAAGCTTTAAACCCTTGTGTTCCATGGTCCTTGTGTACGGACTGGCTCTGGCACCATGCTGGGACTTAAGTGACTCCTGCAGTGTTTATCCAGAACAAGAATCTGCTATTTTTGGTTCCACTTCTGATCTGCTAGTGGTAATTTGTGAGAAAAGTGTTGAGACTAAAATGACATAAACTATGCTTGGTTGTGCAGTTTATATAAATGTACACAAGGCTTCTTGTGTAGATGCTTATTGAAGGACTGGAATCCTCATCTGTAGAAAAACATGATATATGTTCCAAAGGGAATCTTAATGATGTTTGGAGAGAGAGAAGCCTGGTTTGTTCTTTCCATGTATGGTGTATGTGGTTCCCTCTCTCCCTGCCACCACCCTGCAGATGGACAGTGGGTGATCTGAGGGCCTGGAGCTGCACACTCTGGGCACCTGCGGCATGGACGTGTGCTGACGGGAGCTTCTCACCATGTGATTCATGAGTGACGAGGTGTTTGCAGTTACCTCTGGATTTAAGTGATGGGGTTATAGGAGATGATCCTAGAAGTTGTAAACTCAGCACATCATTAGAATCATAGACTCATAATCATCAAGGTATGAGGAGACCTCTAGCCCACCGACAACCCTGCCACTCTGCTGTAATCCCTGAACCCTAAACCATATCCTCCAGTACCAGATCCAGACGTCTCTTAAACACTTCCAGGGATGGTGACTCCACCACCTCCCTGGACAACCTATTCCAGTGTCTGACTCACCCTAACAGTGAAAAAAATTTTCCTAACATCTAATCTGA